TCTCTTTCAGGTACTGAGTTAGCTATAGACGATATTTGGTGAATTTTCTGGCACGCAATTAAATTATTTAGTCGACGTTTAATTTTTTTAAACCAGCCTTTCCCCAATCCTGCAAACTAATTTACTAAAAACAATTAGATCAAATTTATAAACATCTAAACTGGATTTAAATTGTTTTTTATTGTTTTTCATTAACTGCAGTCTACGTCAAGTAATTCAGTAATTGGTAATCGCCGGCAGTTCAACACCAGCTCCAAAGTAATTCTATTACCCATACCATTTTTCCGCGGTTGGCACCCGCAAATAAATTCCAGATCCATCCAAACTTAACGTTTGCTATTAGTATTAGCTGCTGTTTCTACGGTTTTAGAATTTCACGTTGAAAGCTATTTAACGATATTAATGCTTTAACGGTGGTTACACGCTTGAATTGTATTGTTTATCTTGCAAGGCAGTTAATGTTCATACCATGGTGTTCCCTCACTATAATAATATCACTATGGAATGTTATGTGGTTATCACTATAACCACATAATATTCCAAGCAACTGTATTCTGGTTATATTAAAATAACAGTGTAGTAGTGTATAGTGTATACTGTATATTTAACCAACGTCTTTTGTTGAAGTAGCAGAAGTAAGCACCAGCAGCTGATTCAACTGAAGATAATTTAAAGCTGCAATTGTGATTCATATTTGGGTACAGTCAGACCCTAGGGACCGTGTTACATGAACCAGATTCAGACCTCTCCCCAGTCCCCACCTCTCTCCCCAGTCCCACCCCTCTCCCCAGTCCCCACCCCTCTCCCCAGTCCTCACCCCTCTCCCCAGTCCCCATCCCTCTCCCCAGTCCCCAACTCTCTCCCCTCCTACCCTCTCCCCAGTCCCCACCCCTCTCCCCAGTCCCCACCCCTCTCCCCAGTCCCCACCCCTCTCCCCAGTCCCCACCCCTCTCCCCAGTCCCCACCCCTCTCCCCAGGCCCCACCCCTCTCCCCAGTCCCCACCCCTCTCCCCAGTCCCACCCCTCTCCCCAGTCCCCACCCCTCTCCCCAGTCCCCACCCCTCTCCCCAGGCCCCACCCCTCTCACCAGTCCCCACCCCTCTCCCCAGTCCCCACCCCTCTCCCCAGTCCCACCCCTGTCCCCACCCCTGTCCCCAAACTACTATAAAGAGTAGTTCAGGTGATAGGCAATGAGGCAATAAGCACTCAAAATTACTAATTAATAATTAATAATAAGCGATAGAGAAGGTGCAAGGTGTTGCCAGCGGTCGGTTAGTCTATTAGCTTCAAAGGGAAGGCCTAGAAGTGTTTGATAGATGCACTTCCTGTAACGATAAGCAACCATGGTAACGATAAGTGCGATAAGTGTGCGGTAAACGAGCATACGTTAATACTAATAGGGCTACAATTGGCATGAAGTGTTTAATCTGGTTAAACAAGATCTGGGCACTTTAGGTCTTCTCTCCTTGATTCTAAGCTTGTGACGGGCGACAGCTGGTGTGCAGTTTGTTGAACCTTTTGTATTGTTATTCGCTGTTGTAGGACAGAGCTTTAAGTCACGTTATTGTAAAGGGTTTAATCTTATTCTTGTTCTCTTATTTAAAGATTTAGTTACGGAGTCGAACACACAATCCTTAATTGAGGTTGATTTCATGGGGCAATCAATTCTTTTCGTTTTCTCATCCACATAAACTCGTAGAGTGCGATAGCAAGAGCTTTTCCGTCATTTCTCACCCGTCCATGGCCTCTCTTCACGTGCCGCTTCGTATGAAACCACGTCCCTTCAATCGTGTTCGTATGGGCTCCCGTCAGTGGATCTACAAAATTCCGGCTGTGGTTGACATCGTAGTGAGTATATCCATGATGTTCAAGAGGAAGGTATCCTTTCCATTTATCGGTGATAATTCTTGTTCCAGGTCGGACAAACCGAAGGATTAACAGGCAGAGTGTGCTACGGTCTCTCTTGTTGTTAGGACATTCCACTAGGAAACATTCGTTAGATCCTCTTGCTACACCGCCTAACACCCACTTTCTTAGGATCCATAAGCGGTCCTTAGACGGTTCTTAACCGGTTCTTAAACGGCTCTAAGTTGGTCCTTAGGTTGTTTAAATGCAGTTTTAGAGGCGGTTCTTCAACGGTTCTTAAGCGGTTCTTAAGCGGTCCTTAGACGGTTCTTAAGCGGCCGCTCACCGGCTCTTGACCGGCTCTAAACCGGCTCTTAACCGGTTCTTAACCGGTTCTTAACCGGTTCTTAAGCGGTTCTTAGCCGGTTCCTAGCCGGTTCTTAAACGGTTCTTAAGCGGCTCTTAAGCGGTTCTTAAACGGCTCTTAAACGGCTCTTAACCGGCTCTTAAGCGGTGGTCGCTGTTTGCCCTATTAGCCCAATTAATTAAAAATACAATTTCCAAACTACTTCTCAATTCTCATAGAAACTTGCCACAATTCTGCCCAGCTGAACTATTTTCGAAACAGCAATGTTAAGTTGACATATTATATCATCCTCAGGCCTTAACGTTACCATGACAACTTTATTATGTACCAGAACTCACAACTTTTAACAGACTTTCTCCCTACTTGACAGAAACTCGACTGATAAACAAGATTGACGCTAACTTTACCGTCTGTGACAAGTGCCAACCTTGTCAGGGGATCTAAAATGGGACCCAACCGGGCAGAAACTGGCGGTTATTTACACCCCAAACAATGGAACGAACGGATTAGCATAAAGATTAGCAGGGACGTCTGAAGTTAGGACAAAGCCGTGATGAAGAAGCCCGGTACCCAGTAAAAGAGTTGTTAGATCTCATTGTTACCATGGTAATTGACATACTATTGTCCAGGCTCACTCAATCTGCAGAGCACGTGACTTGGCCACATGTCACGTGATGATCTACTGTTCCGGGTATAAAGAACCAGCTAAATAAACACCTGTTAACCACAACCGTTATGTTTATCTCAGGTGTGTTTTTCGTGCTAGCTCTCAGCGGGGCACTGGCACAAGGGCCTCCTAAATCCCCTACCATCACTGTGACAGATCAGAAGGGAGAGAAGGGAGCAAATCTCGACGTTCCCTTTACTATTGAGAAGGCGGACAAAGACCTGGACAAGGGCCAAGTCCATATTGCTAAAGCCTCAAAAGATCACAAGTTCACTAATGCCCGATTCAAAGTTGTTCTGAGTGGAGACGCAAGCAAACTAACAGGAGAGGCTACAGCAGATAGCCTGACTTGTGACGACCAAAGTGGGTATATTATCTACTACCAGAGGATTCCACCCCCACCTAAGCAAGGCCCCCCACCTGGTAGTTTCATGCTTGAAATTGAGGGATGCCCTCCTCTTGAGGACGACAAAAGAGCACCTGGGTACCCGACCATCAAAGTAAAGAACCAGAGAGGAGAAAAGGGAGCCAGCATCTCATTCTCCTTCACCGTCACTAAATCTGAGGCTGACCTGGACAAAGACCAGGTTCACATCGACAAAGCTTCAAAAGATCACAAGTTCACTGCCGCCAGATTCAAGGTGGATCTGAGTGGAGACACGAGCAAGCTGACGGGTGAAGCTTCAGCAGATAATCTGACTTGTGATGACCAGGGTGGGTATCTAATCTTCTATCAGAGGATTCCTCCTCCTCCTAAACACGGTCCCCCTGCTGGCAGTTTCCTCCTCAATATTAAAGGATGTAAGCCTGGTGAGGATGATGAAGTTGGACCTCCTTGGGATGTTCACAGGATTCTTGTTTAAGTTATTTGGTGATTTTTTCGGTTTTAGGTAGAGATTAGAAGTTTTATTTTTGCTTTTTCACAACAATTTGGTGAATTGTATTCCATTGTTTTATTGAGTTTCGATAATAATCCAATTCAAATTAAGTCACCAAACTGAATCAGGAATATTGGTCCACAAATGGTCCCAAACACACCAAGATGACACTTTCGGTTATTTATCAATTCCTCTTCATTCCACGTTCCCCCCTTCATCTTCACATAGATTTCCCCAACATTCCTGGAGAAGTGCCACACCCCAGAGACAGGTAGAGCATCTTCATGCAATCCTCTTGTGGGCCATGAAGGTCCAGCTTTTAAAAATAAAAAAAAGAGTCCAATCCCAAATATAATTCAAAGTACCTCACTAAATTAACATTAATAATAAACTGAAGCTCAATACAGACGATCATCTATTTGATTCGTGTCCTCCTTCTGCAGTCTTCAAGCCACCCGTTCGACAATGGTTCACTTACGTCTTACATTCATAAAATTATCCTCACTAACTCCAGCTACTGTAAAAGGTCGACTTCTGGGGGGATTGGTCTCATTTTGTGATGCGAGTTCTATTCAGTAAATCCATCGATTTATCCATGTCAATGAATTAAATACAAATTTGTATTATGTTTCCTAAATATTTGAGCAAAGTTTGACATCCAAGTTCCCTGATCCTCAGACGAGGGAAATAGCTGTTCCAAAAATCAACACATCTTTATAAGGTAATGTTACCATGGTAACACTAACACTACTAAATATGCCATAAGATCATGTAGCTGACAACTATGAGTTAAAAGCAGTTCCAAGGATCACATATTACGATATTAAGGAGCATATAACATCGGGCTTCTCCTTTGAATCATACAAGGACAAATCTGACATTTATCATAATTATGTACGCTTTAGGTGCTTCAAGCTTTGAAAAATTTGGCACAATTTTAAATTTCGCAATCCCAGTAGTTAAGATTAGAAGTAACACGTTAAGATTAACATTAGTCACACAGTTTAGCGCTGACAAGGCAAGATTGTTTGATAATGAGTTATTATCTTCAAATCTTTCTTGGACAACACGCTGGTTTCTCTCCTCGTGGCGTGTTGAATAATGTTGTTTTGGTTTAAAGTCAGTCTTTGTTCTACCTGGCCTTCAAGTATTTATTATTAAGTCTTCCCGTCTTATAAATCTAAACGTTTAGTTGTGTTTAAGCTTTCTGAGGTCAGCTTATTTGTTTGGTGGGCGAATGGTGGGATCACCGTGACTGATTTGGCAATTTGGCAATTTACTATACCGTACACTCACAGACTGGGATTAAGGACGATTTCTAAACAATGTCAGTGACTAACATGTTGTTGCTTTGTTAAGAAGTGCTATTATTTATCGTTTGCATCGATTTTTACCCGGTTCTATTTAATCAGATTTCGATCTTTGTGTAAGGTTAGAGTTGATGGACCTCCTCTTCGAAAATAATTGTGGTTAATTACTGCAAGTTAGTTCGGCTAACAAACACACCTGATTTGGTTCCGAATTGTAGCCAATTTAACTCGAAACTGTCAGGCAAGATAGTGATAAAAGCCATATTCATAAAATAGTAACTATAGAAACTACAAAGCAAGTTTATTATCTGTATAGGTAGTGTTGACATTCACGGTAACAACCATCAAACATGGTAGCTATAAAACCATGGGTTTTCCTAACTAGCCTCATGCATAATAGTTGTGTAAGCTTCACAAATCACTGTAATAAATGCTGTTAACCATGAGCAACTAGTGTCTAGTAACCATAGTAACTCTCAGTTAAGTAACCATAGCTTAGTTGTAGTGAACGTACGGAACGTTCACTAAAAATAGTTTGTGAACGCGTTCGCTAAAAGATTTTAACGTTCGGAACATAAGGAACGTTAATTGCTATTATGAAATTAAAATGCCGGACATAGCCCAATTATCCGGCAAAGTACTAGCGTTTCCATTGCCACTTGCCGACAGGATTTGCCACGTTGTAACAGACAATCCAAATGTCAATAAATCTCTACGACGCTTAATCGGAGCTGATTATGAACACATCATAGGATCATGCTGTGTAACCCACCAGTTCGATCTACTTGCCGAGGATGTCGGGAAGTTGAGCTGGACCAATGAGACATTGTCGAATTGTAACAAAATAGTTACAAATGTGAAGAATCACGACATGATTCTAAAAACGTTAAGAACCCATTCTCATGTCAATTTGCTAAAACCAGGGGAAACTCGGTTTGCCACCCAGTTTATTATGTTAGAGAGACTGAAGGGTTCCAAGGATACTTTGATTAAGACTTATATTGAATATTGATCCAACCCGTACTGAGTCTGTTAGCAATAAAAGTAATGCTACAAGAATTTGTTTGAGTGCGCTAAAGATTTAGTGTTTGACCCCCATTTCTGGATAGAAGTCGACTATTTATGCTCAATTCTCGAGCCGATAATAGTCTTGCTTAGATTTTCAGACAATAGTCTTAAGATTCCTGTTGGTTTCATCGGTGTAATTTATTACAAATATTATCTGTTCACCTTAAAGTTAGCAAATTTTGCTTTCCGCAATAGAAACCATTATAAAAGTGATATGGTTAGTGTTGCCAACAAAAGGTGGCTCGAGCTCCATTCCCCCCTACATTCAGTAGGGTTTTGTGCTCACCCGGCTTATCAGGGATATGATCAGCACACGAATCAGGATGTCTGGAAGGAGTTTCTAGATGTCATGGACACGTGGTGTGACGGCGCAACAAAGAAGAAGATAATTTCGCAGTACACGTTCTACCGAGAGAAAAGAGGCTTATTCTCTACTGACGCTGCCTCAAGTTTTAGCCAAGATTCTGACGATCCAGTCTCTTGGTGGAGCAACTTCGGTTGTGAGGTACCCGAACTACAGAGTTTTGCAATGAAAGCGCTGTCGCAATCGACATCAGCCTCACCCTGTGAGACGAATTGGAGCTTGTACGACTGGGTGATAAACAAAAAAAGAAACCGCCTCACAGTTGACAAGCAGCGAGACTTTATTTATGTTAACGCAAGTTTGCGTCTTATGAACAATTCACGAATTATGGAGCAATAATTTCATTACTATTTGCTATACTAGTGACTTATTTTTATTCATTATTGTTTATTTACTGTAAATTATCAAAATATTGACTAACGTTCACTAACGTTCACAAACGTTCACTACAAAATGATTGGAACGTACGTTCAGTACGACTAAGTTCAGCGTTCACTACAACTAAGAACCATAGTAACTCTCAGTTAAGTAACCATAGTAACTCTCAGTTAAGAATGTGTGACAGACCAGAGATTCGGGTCGGCCAAACAGAGGTAAAATCTTTTCAGGGATTTGGTAAAAGACAATCTTCTTACACAAAGTAAGTGCGAACAAGACAAATGGTTACTTTTCCCCTTTTATATTCATTTCGGCTTCGTTGTTATAAGACACTTGTCTATTGGTTTGGAGGTGACCCAAATTTTTTCCCGAATAGAACATTGTCATATATTCTTCTCAAATTGACGGCTTTTTATGGTCGTAGGAAAGATAACTTATTTCCCACAACGCTCAAATTCAATATTAGAAATGCACTCTAGGGTGGCACAAAGGGACAACTATAAGGGTGGCACAAAGGGACAACTATAAGGGTGGCACAAAGGAACAACTATAAGGTTGGCACAAAGGAACAACTATAAGGGTGGCACAAAGGAACAACTATAAGGGTGGCACAAAGGAACAACTATAAGGGTGGCACAAAGGGACAACTATAAGGGTGGCACAAAGGGTGGCACAAACAACTGTAGTCAAGTCTATCAAGATCCATGTCCGGATACCTAGTCACTAGACTATCCTTTGTCTAATATGAACTACCTTATCGAACTTTATTTGGTCAGACATTACGTAAAACTAGAGGTCTCCCGTCTCATTATGTTATAATGTCCGACTCAATTGTAAGTCCAGCTACCATGTTTTTGTGTCCCTAATCATTTCCACCCAAAATTATATCCGTCTACGTAATGTTCGTCCAAATAAGGCAACTCTAAACTGTGAAATTTTAACTCTCACAGGATAAGTGCACCTCCAGGAGGTCACACCCAACTCAACTTGTTCGGGGGTCCCCCAGAACCAGCTCCAGTTAGAAAAGAAACCGTCAACCAGTGCCAATACGAGAGAAACAAGTCCTCTATCACTGACCAATACACAGGTTCTTTGTTAAACTGGCAATTAGATACTAGACAAACCTATTATTACTTATCACTCTATAAATATGCTTGAAACGGTTTATAAAAGCCATAGCAGAAACCATGTGTGGTAACATTGGATATACAATGCCGACCGGCTATTAACCAGCTAGCTGGCTATAGCCGGCTGATAGGTATTTGTGCCCCCAAAATAGCTATTAGAGGGCTGTTACTTTCCTATTTTAATTGCATTTCTAACAGCCATCTAACAGCCCTTTCCACTAACCTCGGTCAGCTCTTTGGAAAATCTTAACAGCCCTCTTACAGCCCTTTAACAGCCCTCTATTAGCTGGCTAATAGCCGACGCTTACTTGTGAATTGTTGTGGCTATAATCCGGCTGTTAAAGGGCTATGAGCCGGTTAATAGCCGGTCGGCATTGTACCTATTTGTTGTGTGGTGTAATGAGTCAGCTAGCTGGATAACACAGTAGCCTTCTGGCTAGAAAGAGTATTTCTCAGATAAATATTACAACACAGGAGTTATAAATTAACACACATGTAACCAATTCAGGTCAGGAAGCACCAGAGGACGATCTGAAGAGCCCCGTTATTGAGCATCCCCTTCCTCCTCCTAAGAAACCTGCAACCAAGATCATGCAACCTCCTGGAGGACGAACCTCCCTCTCTCTGTTCGGGTAGAAGGACTAAAAATTTTAAAAACTCCGATTTGAGACTTTGATTCCGAGGATTTTGAGTTTTCAGGATTAGGGAATAAACTGACTGTGTAAATTTCGATTGAAATATTAAATAAGTACGGTGATTCAAGTTTGTACTTTGTGGACGACAAAATTGCTAGTTAAAATAATTTTTCTTGAGATAACCATAATTGAAATGTTTATTATCAAACCGTGTTGCAAAATGTAAAATTATAATAGTAATAATTGATGTTTTTTTGAAATTTGATTTATGAATATTTTGAATAACTATTTCCTGGTTTGATTTATAAATTCGGTAGACATACTCGTGAAAATTTCATATTTATTAAAATGTGGATTTTCTGGATACAGTGTAAAACTAGCAGTCCTAAAGTCCCTACCATATATATTTTCTTTAAAGGTTGATAAGGCTTAAAAGTAGGAGGTCTTCGAGAATTATTATTTTAAAATATGTGCCTAAGGATCTCAAGCTTGTTAGTTTCACAAAGACGGGCAGGTTGTTTCAAGAATCGCCTAGCTTTTTCTATCGCAGTGAAGTTCTGGCTATACGACAAGGAGCCGGGGATGATTTCAATGTTGCAAAAAAGTAACAGTAAAATAATAACTTTGGCTATATAATCCTTGGCTTTTCTATAATTCTGCTCGTGAATTTAGACATGACAATGTAAGTTTTCAATAATATATGAAGTGAAGGGTAGCTTCCTAACCAAAAGTCGAAAGTTCGTGGGTTGAGGGACTAGGGTGCCCGGTGCAACTTTAATAAGCACATAAGCAGTAAGACTGCACCAGAGCCACATCAGAGTGACTTCAGGGCGACTTCAGGGCGACTTGAGGGCTCATTAAGTTTTCTGGTTAGATAAGAAATCAATTTAACTCGTATAACAGTCGCAGTGTAACTGGCAACACTAACTAGATTTGGTCAACCAATTAGGATTTTAAAATTAAATTTCAAATCACAGCTGCCAGACAGAATTATCTATTACAATTCGAGTAGATTGTGAGGGATTTGTCATTAGCCAAATCGCACCACTTGCGAACAAAAAGAGATATTTCCCAGTATTTTTAGCGTCAGGCTTCGAGGATACTGCCAAGAGATTAGTATAAGTTTTTATCTTTCCCACTGAATCTAATTAAAATCTAATTAAAGTGGTTAATCATATTTTGAATATAACGAAGCCACGCAATCACCACGTTAGAAACCATGTATTTATGTGCACTGTGCAGCAGGTAAAATAAAATCTGCCTCATTACCGTATTTGTTTGCCAGTTTCTCACGTGGCTTTCTTTTTCAGAAAAATAAAATGTTTTGTTGAGACGCGATTATATTCAATTTTGAAAGGCCATGTTTGTTGTATTGACGGAATTTGTCGATTTCATTAAAAGTAAACTTTTTCATATGGATTTAATATTAAAATATCATTAAAAGTAATAAACAACTCTTTAAATGAATATGCATATCTCAGACACCTGAAGCATTATGTTCTTAACATATTATATTTATAATGTAGAGTCTATTAGTGAATATTCACTTACAATATTTCAGACAGAATGAGAATGATCGGTATCATCTCACTCCTAGTTGCTATCACTGCAATCACAGCAGGTAATGTAAAAACGTTGAATGTATTTTAATTACAGATCAGAATGCTATTTGTAAGAACGTCCTAAAATCAATAAAAAATTGTAATTAAATATTGATCGTGACTTATATTATATAATAACCTTATCTGTTACCGTGCCGTGACGCGTGAATAACAGAATACTAATGTTTCAGTGCCCACCCCAAATGAGTGTCCGAGGATCATGTCAGATGCGGGGTTAACGAGTGGTTTTGCTCCTATGGTAGCTCACTCCATCCACTCCCTGGCTTTGGAGGACATCCGTTATTACTTCAAGAGTGATGCTACCGAGGAGAACGGCATCCCAACAGGTTTGTTGTTGCACGCTTGAAGGTGGGAACTCAGCTTTCTGATTAAATTGTTATCTTAGATTATTGCTGATACTTTTATTACAAGTTATAAGTATAACCTACTTATTGTATTATTATTGATCAAATAAAAATGTACTAAGTTAGGTAACTACTAACTACCGGTAGTTTCGTCAGATCATGCTACTATAGTTGGGCACGTTACAACTTACAATAGAAATATCACCAATAAGTAGATTATAACCTTAGTTTTTATTCAAATTGAAAGTCTTAATCTTAATATAATGCTTCAATTTAATTTTCAGTGAACTTTGATCTGGGAGCTGAGAAGAGAGTGGTTCCTAACGCCCCACTGGTAGGATACGATGAGGACTTCTCTACAATTGGCATGAGGAGCTTTGACTTGGTAATAATGTAGCTAGCTTTTCTAAAATCCCCGTTACATTACACAAGAAATCACCGTCATCGGTCGACTTTATATTTACGTGGATCACATCACTGAAATCAGTATTTCTCATATGTAAACCTGGATAAAGCTCTACTGTATTTTTAACAAAATTAATAACTCTGTCCAGGTAATGCGGAACATGAACCGAACCGGCTGGGGGTCAAGGAACCAAAACATCTTAGTGAAGTTAACCCACGTTCTTCACATGTCGGAGATGTGGGATAGTGTCGCTCGGAGCTACAAGATGATCGCGCGGCTTTTGGACCCGCAGTCAGATATTTGCGCTTGTGTGACAGACGTTGAAAATAACGATGTGCTGAATTATCTTCATTTTCTTGCTTTCAAGCTACGATACCCTGGAATTACTTCGGGAAATGAAACTATTACCGCTCGTTGTGAGTATAGGTTTAGGTGTTTTGGCTAGGTTCGTAACAGTCTTATCTAAACTTAAGTGTTTCGTACTGGCACGCACTAAACACTTTTTTATCCGAATCAATATTAGATGCTAGTTTAAAAACGGAAAAAAAAATTAGACTTAGAAAAAAAAACTTTTAGTGAAAATTTAAAATTTACTTATATTAATAATCTTTCAGAGTTGTACGATGGAACATTAATATTTGGTGTTTATACTGAACTAAAACTCCCAGATTTGTCCAAAGAGGGAAGAGCTAAACGAAGTATGGATGAAGAGTATGACTACGACTACGATTTTTGCTGGGGGGATAATTCCAATATTGACTATCTGAGGACTCCTCGCCCAGATTTCCGTAAACTGGACTTCGACCTCGGTGATTTGGAGGTAACAGACGATTTAATTAATTGATTCATATTACTATCGATTCATTAAATTGATTAATTTGTAGACTGCCGTAATTTTATAAGTCTATTTTACTCGATTGATGGGGAAGGGTTGTCAAACAAAAAGCCGAAAATTTTCAATCTGGCAGCTGATTCGTTTTTAGCGCAAGCTTTAAAATTCACATCAGTACGTGTGTCAGGGAACATTTAAAAGTTCCAAATTAAACGTCTGCAATTCACATTTTTTTTTCCTAAAACAAACCCAATTTTAGATACTGGAGGATGTAGCAAAAGTAATGACTGACGGTGACGAAGGAACAGCCGCAGTTCTGCTGGACAGTGCGGACCACTGGGCCTGGTGGAGGGACATGGTGAAGGGGCTGAACATGGGCGAGGCTGGCTACTATGATATCGCTGTTTTCATGTTCTGTTCGCTCAATTAAACGGAGCAAATATGTTGAACCTTTTGAACGCGAGCGTCACGTTTGGTAGTATTACGCATGCATAATCATGATGATGACTTTCACTTAAAGGTATAATTGAATTTAAATTAATTTATTGTTGGGCAAGTTAAAACTATAAGAAGAGCCAGTGTCGTAACGAAGGGCCCCAGGCAACGTTACGCCACTGAGGAGCTGATTGTTGTAATTTTATATCATCACTAAGATCTCGAAAGGAAACTTTTTATTGGTTAAAACAAAGAAATATTTTTCAATTGTATCGGAAATTTTATTTTGAAAAACTAAATCAATTTATTGTAATTGTAATATTTTCTTATCATCGATTAAAAAGTGTTTATTCTATTTGTAAATTATCAGATGAATAATAATTGAAAATTCGTATAATATTTACTGGCGGTTCACTACCATTAATTAACATAATGAAAATTAAGAAATATGTTCATATTTTTCTAGGTTAGAAATTTAAAACGTCCGTCAGTATCTTACAAAATAAAAATCAGTCTGAAATTATTGTTTTATCGCAATAAAAATGATTAAGTTGCGATAAAATTCTGCAAATAAATTGTGTCTCTTTACCCATATGTAATCTACAATGTTATGTCCAGTTATTCATCGACTTAAACCTCAAATAAGTTCCTATCAAGTTCTACTTCATTTTCATCTCCTGTGATTTCAAATATGATAGGTAGGTGGTCTGAACCTATGTTTTCAGCAGTCTGCCACTTGAATGAGTCTTCAAGGGTTTTGGAGACCAAAGTTATGTCAGGGGAACTTTTACCCTCGGTGGTAGCGCTTCTCCTTCTCCTCTCCCTGTAGAAAATAAAAATAAAAATAAAACCGTAATTAAAAATTGCAACAACTAGCTGCAATGTGGTTTTGCAAAACTTACATCTGTTCAAAAAAGTAAAATTTAACCTTTTGTTTATACTTTTATAATTCACACGGATCGAACAGCATGCATTTATAAATTATGAACGTTTACAAATTACAATCATGCACGATTTAGTTTCTCATTCACCAGAAATGTAATTTTTTGTCCATTTGTCCTAATAAAACCCAATGGCCATTTTATCTTAGCGCTCACTTACCCATGTACGAACGTGGGTGATCCGTCATTGCAGCAAACCATATCTTTATCTTTCATAAATTGAATAATTTTGTCGCCCATGATGTTTTCAGGTTGTTTGTCCCATAGGTTATTGTGGGCATTAAAATCACCAGCAATCACGCAGTTGTTGGATGCAGGGATCCAATCGATATTTGCCTCGTCAGAACAATTTGCCTCGTCAGAGCAATTTGCCTCGTCAGACCAATTTGCCTCGTCAGAGCAATTTGCCTCGTCAGACCAATTTGCCTCGTCAGAGCGATTACTTTTAAATTTAGGCCCAGGGTAGTAAACATTTGTTATATCAAACCATTTTCCGTTCTTTTGCTGGATGCTGACACTGAGGGTTTCTACATTTCCTTTGTCAAGTTCATCGCCTTTTTTTATCTTGAAATTCAGATCTTCTTTTATGTACATAATCAGTCCTCCGCCCTGATTTTTATTGCCGGGCCTATCCTTTCTTTCAACTTTGTATCCGCGTATTTCTGGAGTTTTTATACAATTGTCCGTGAGCTTAGTTTCTTGGATAAG